CGCTGCGTCTGCTCCCAGTGGGAGGCGCTGCAGCGGTAGGAGTAAGGGGGGCAAGGGTGCTGGATGGGATGGCGGGGGCGGTGGTGGTGGCGGTGGAGGCGGTGGAGGGGGTGGGGGTGGAGGTGGGGGTGGTGGCGGTAGTGGGGCTTCGGTAGCGGTGGTGGAGGTGGAGGCGGCGCAGGCAGCGGCAGTGGGGGTGGAGGTGGCGGAGGCGGCGGCGGTGGTGGGGGTGGCGGCGGCGGTGGTGCTGGTCGAGGTGGCACTGTGCAGCGGGGAGGCTTTGGCGGTGGTCAGCGCCAGCAGCAGCAGCACCCTCGTGAGACCCTGTCGCCCCAGCAGCTTCGTGAGTGGTACGCTGGGCGTGGGAGGTCTGGGGGTGCCGGTCCCTGCACGTACGTTCTCCGCACCAACGACCGCAGTGGAGAGGCGTGCGGTGGCCCGCACGCCACGCTCCGCTGTTTCGGCCGCCTGACTGATGCCTGGCGTGCACAGTTTCCTGACTCCAATGAGATCCCTCGCTTCGGTGATCTGCTTAAGTCGGGGGTTGCTATCTTTGATCTTGATTATGATGCTATCCTTGCTGCTATGTATGCTGTGACTATTAGTGCTGAGGGTGACTGTTACCTGTGTGTTCCGCCCGACCCGGGCATTGAGGCTGCTGCTCTAGGTGCTAGTGAGTTTGCTGCTCCAGGTGCTGGTGAGGCTGCTCTCTCAGGTACCGCGTCGGCTCAGGCCTTGCACACTTTCACCCTTGACTCGGGTGCTTCCCGCTCCTTCTTTCGCGACTGCACCACACTCTCGCCGCTCAGTCGGCCAGTGGCAGTCTCTCTGGCTGACCCCTCTGGGGGTCCGGTCCTTGCACACTCCTCCACACTCCTGGAGGTCAGCGGGTGACCCACTGTTCGTGTACTCGGACGGGCCGGCACCTGGCCACGTTCCCCGTTAGCTTGGGTCGAGCCTGTACACCCTGACTACCAAGTCTCCTCCCGTTTCGGCGTCTGGTCAGGTAGCTACGTCGGGTCAGGTTTTTGCGGCTGCGTCCCGGTCTGGTCCTGAGTTTGCCCCCTACTCGTGTCGCCTCCTGTCTCACCAGACTCTTCTCTAGCACCACCGCCTTGGTCACCCCTCCCTGCCTCGTCTCCGAGGCATGGCCTCCCGTGTCCTTGTCACTGGTCTTCCCCGGTCTCTCCCTCCCCTTCCTCCGGGGCCTGCCCCTACCTGCGTTCCTTGCGTCGAGGGACGGCAGCGCGCCGCTCCTCACTCCTCCGAGTTTCCTCCGACGGAGGCTCCCCTGCAGACTCTTCACATGGACGTGTGGGGCCCAGCCCGCGTCCGTGGACAGGGTCACGAGCGCTACTTCCTGCTGGTCGTTGACGACTACTCGCGTTACACCACAGTCTTCCCCTTGTGCCGCAAGGGTGAGGTCACTTAGGTGCTGATCGACTGGATCCGCGCTGCCCGTCGTCAGCTTAGTTAGAGTTTCGGCTCGGACCTTCCTGTTTTGCGTCTGCACTCTGACAGAGGTGGAGAGTTTTCCTCCGACCTTCTGAGAGCCTTCTGTCGTGCGGAGGGCATCCGCCAGACGTTCACGCTTCCGGCCTCTCCACAGCAAAATGGGATTGCTGAGCGCCGCATTGGCATGGTCATGGACGTCGCTCGTACGTCCATGATCCATGCGGCTGCTCCCCATTTTCTGTGGCCGTTCGCGGTTCAGTACGCGGCGCATCAGATCAACCTCCAGCCTCGGGTCTCCTTGCCTAAGACCACACCTACTCTGAGGTGGATGGGGAAGGTTGGCGATGCGTCTGCGTTCCGTGTCTGGGGATCTCGGGCTTTCGTCCGCGATTTGTCTGCGGACAAGCTGACCTCCCGTGCTGTTCCCTGCGTCTTCTTTGGCTTCCCCCCTGACGCGCCTGGTTGGCAGTTTTACCACCCCACGTCGCGCCGTGTTCTGTCCTCTCAGGACGTCACGTTTGACGAGCTGGTTCCTTACTACCGTCTCTTCCCCTACCGCACTGCCCCCCTCCCTTCCCCGCCGCTCTTCATTGCGCCAGGTCCTCCCCCGGTAGACCCCCTCCCCCCTCAGGGTCCTTCCCCCTCAGGTGTGTCCCAGGTAGACGCAGTCGAGCTTGTCGAGGTAGCTGTTGACTCTGGTGCTGCTAGGGGTGCTGGGCCTGCGGGTGTCGGGTCTGGGGGTGCTGAGCCTGGGGGTGCGGAGCCTGCGGGTGCTGAGCCTGGGGTTGCTGAGTCTGGGGGTGCTGAGACTGGGGGTGCTGAGCCTGGGGTTGCTGAGTCTGGGGGTGCGGAGCCTGAGGGTGCTGAGCCTGCGCGTGTGGAGTCTGGAGGTGTTGAGCCTGGCGGTCCTTCGGGTGCTTCGTCCTGTCGGGAGCCACTCTCTCCACAGCAGTTGCGGGAGTGTTTTGCTCGGCGCTGGAGCCGTGCTGCTGGAGCTGGTGGTACTACGGGCGCTGGAGGTCCTGCTGCTGTTGGAGCTGCTGGGGGTTCTGGAGCCACGGGTCCCGGAGGTGCTCGTACTGGAGGTACTGGAGCTGCTGGAGCTGGCGGTGCTGCTGGAGCTGGAGCTGCTGGAGGTGCTGGAGCTGGAGCCGCTGGCGCTTCTGGGGCTTCTGGTGGTCCTGCTGGAGCTAGAGCTGTTGGAGGTGCTGGAGCTAGAGGTGCTGCTAGGGCCGGTGCTCCTGTGGGTGTTGGAGTTGACGCTTCTGGTGCTGCTGGAGGTGCTGCTGGAGCTGGTGGTACTGCTGGAGTTGGAGCTGCCACTGGGGGTGCTGGTTCTGTCCCTGCTGGTTCTGGAGGCGCTGTGTGGCCGCGGCCGTACTACGTTCCGCTCCTTCAGCAGGTTCTTGGTCTTTCGCCTTCTACTGGTCCTGCTCCTTCCTTAGAGTGTCCGCCGCCTGCCCAGTCGCAGTCACAGTTACAGCCCGCCTCCCCACTGCCTGCTCGTTCTCCTTACACTGGTCCGACCGGAGGTCTTGCTGAGCGTCGTGAGCCTGCGTCTCGTCCTGCGTCGCCTGTTCGTGCTGCTAGTGCTAGTCGTCGTGGTTCGCGTCATCGTCCTCCTCCTGTCCCTGGCACGCACCGGATGGCTCTGCGCCCTTCCTCTGCTCCGCAGCGTGTCCCTCTTCCGTCTCCTCCTGCGTCCTCCCTTGCTGACGGTCCAGACCCAGAGTCTGACTCCCTTCGTGCTGCTAGTCCTACTGTTATGCGTCTCCTGGCCACTGTTGTCACTGACCCTTCCTTTGAGTCCACTGCTGCGTCTGCCTTAGCTGCTAAGCTTGTCGACTTTGCTGGTCATTGTCGTCTCCACTACGCCGCTAGTCTTGTTGCTGAGTTTGAGTCTGTCTGTCCTCCGTCCGTCGGGGGTGAGTGTGCTCTTGGCATGGATGTCCTTGAGGACAGGTAGGAGGAATTTGAGTGCTTTGCAGCCGTTGCACCTCATCTCGTGTCCATGCTAATTGCACCTGAGGGAGACTCGGATGCACCAAACATCCCGACCCCGCGCTCTTACGCAGAGGCGATAGAGGGTCCCTACTCCTCTCAGTGGCAGTCAGCCATGGACGCAGAGATGGCATCCTGGAAGTCCACAGGCACTTCCGTCGACGAGGTTCCCCCTCCTGTGGCGAACATCGTCAGTGGCATGTGGATTTTTAGGGTGAAGCGGCCGTCGGGTTCTCCGCATGTCTTCAAGGCGCGTTACGTTGCTCAAAGCTTCAGTCAGCGACAGGGAGTTGACTTCTTCCAGACCTTCTCCCTGACCCCGAAAATGACCACTCTTCGGGTTCTGCTGCACGTCGCTGCTCAGCGTGACTACGAGCTTCACTCACTTGACTTCAGCACTGCTTTCCTACAGGGCAGCCTACACGAGGAGATCTAGCTGCGCCGCCCACCTGGCTTCAATGGGTCGTTTCCTCCTGGTACCCAGTGGAGCCTTCGGCGGCCAGTCTACGGTCTCCGCTAGGCGCCCTGTGAGTGGCACGACACACTGAGGACTACGCTTGCGGCTCTTGGGTTTGCTCCTTCTATTGCTGACCTGTCGCTGTTTCTACGGCTAAGAGGGTGTTGCGCTACCTGTGCAGTATGTCGGGCATGGGGCTCGTGCTTGGAGGCCGGGCTCGAGTTGTCCTCACTGGTCACGCAGACGCTTCTTGGGTTGACGACTTGGCTACGCAGCGGTCGTCACAGGGTTACACCTTCAGCCTTGGTTCCGGCTCTGATTCGTGGCGGTCTACCCGGTCGTCCTCTGTTCTCAGCTCCAGTTGTGAGGCTGAAATCTACGCTGGGGCCATGGCTGCACAGGAGTTACGCTGGCTCACTTACCTGCTAGCCGACTTGGGAGAGGCGCATCGTTCTCCTCCAGTTCTGTATGTTGACAACAAGGCCATGCTGGCCTTGTGTCAGGAGCACAGACTGGAGGACAGAACGAAGCACATTGCTCTACGCTACTTCCTTGCTCGAGAGTTGCAGCAACGTGGTCGGCTTCGTCTTGCTTACGTGGCCTCTCGGGCCAACACTGCTGATAACTTCACCAAGCCACTACAGCCTTGTGATCATCAGCGTTTCTGTACTATGCTAGTTCTTGTGCCTACCGGGCCTCACTTGCTTACCTCTTGACTTTGCTTGTACTGTGATCTATATATGCCTGCGCCTGCATGCTTACTTTTGTTAAGTTGTGATCACTGTCTTACTTGCTCACTTTGTTTTATAATCCTGCATGTGAACTTGCCTTTTGGCCTTGAACTTGTGCTCAGAATGTGTGGTGACGTTGTGATCCACCCTGAGCTTGACCTTTCCTTGTTCTCTTGCTTGTCCCCCACTTTGCCTATGGGGGTGTGTCAGAACTATATTGTAGGCTGTAGTGGGGTTGACAATATGGGGTTCAACTCTTATAGGTTTTCTTCTTTGTACCCAACTGCTTCCTAGTTGATTTTATTCCTCGTACTTTTCTCACAGCCTGTGTGCGCCCTGCTGCCCCGTACCTGCTCATGCCCCGCTGCCCAGCGCCCGCGCGCGCCCCGCTACCCAGCGCCCGCGCGCGCCCCGCTACCCAGCGCCCGCGCGTGCCCCACTGCCCAGCGGCCGTGTGCGCCCTGCTGCCCCGTACCTGCGCATGCCCCGCTGTCTAGTGCTAGTACATGCCCCGCTGCCCAGCGCCCGCGCGCGCCCTGGTGCCCAGCACCCGCGCGCGCCCTGTTGCCCAGCGCCCGCGCGCGTCCCGCTACCCAGCGCCCACCGCGCTCTGCTGCCCGCGCCCTTGCGCACCCCGCTGCCCAGAGCCAACGCGCGCCCCGCAGCTCAGCACCCGCGCGCACCCCGCTGCCCAGCGCCCGCGCGCGCCCCGCTGCCCTGCGTCCGCGCATGCCCCACTACCCCCGTGCCGTGCACACCCTGCTGCCCTGCGCGCCCCGTGCGCGCCCTGCTGCCCGCGTGCCCCGCACGCCTTGCTGCCCTGCGCGCCTTGCCTACGCTGCAGCTGCTACTAAGCTGTTGCTGCCGCTCGCCAAGAGCATGTTTTGCCCTGCCCAGCGCTATCACGCTGCCTTGCCCTGTTGCCCCGCGCTTAGCGCATGCCCCTGCTGCGCGCCGCTAGCACACGCTGCCTCGCGAGCGCCGCTGCCCTGCCGTGCTGCCCGCGATCTGCCCAGCCGCGCTGCCCAGCCGCGCTGCCCGCAAGCTGCCCGCGCTGCTTGCGCCACTGCAGCCCGCTGCTGCGCTGCTGCACTGCTGCCGCCTGAGGTGCTGCCCTGCCTAGCCGCCACTCAGCAATGCTGCCGCTGCTTGCACTACTGCAGCCCGCTGGTGCACTGCTGCCGCCTGAGCTGCTGTTCTACCTAGCCGCCACTCAGCGTTACTGCCGCTGCTTGCGCTACTGCAGCCCTGCCCCATCAGGCCTGTGCCGTTAGCCCTGCCCCGTTAGCCCTGCCCCGTTAGCCCTGCCCCGTTAGGCCTGCTCTGCCGCCCTTCAGCGCCCTGGCCTCTGCCTCTGCTGCCCTGCCCACGCTGCTGTTGCCCCCTGTGCTGCTGCTGCTGCTGCTACTATGCTGCTATTGCCACCTGTGCTACTGTTGCTGCACTACTGCTGGCCCATCCGAGCCGGCCTGCCGAGCCGCCTTTGCTGCCACCCTTGCTGCCGTTACTGCTGCTATGGCGACTCCCATTGTGCTCACCTTTGATGCCGAGGGCCACCCAAAACAGTTGAAGTCCTGGCTAGAGGGTCTGCACCAGTACCTCCTGAGTGTCACTCAGGAGAACGCCTCCCTGATCGAACACACGTCAGGGTCCCTTCCGGCCCCCGAGGCTCCTGCTGAGCCTGCTGCTGCCGCTAGGGAGGAGGTGCAGACGCAATACCGCGCTGACCGCATCGCCTGTAAATGGTAGAGGGCGCGCAACGTCGCTGCCATACTTGCAGTCCGCGCTCACCTCTCGATTGACCACAGAGCCAACTTTCGGCAGGTTCCGTCAGCCCATGCTTTATATACCGTTGTGGTTAGGCGCTACTCCCCCCCCTTCCTACCACCCTAGGTCGTCTTGCGTTGCCGCTTACCTTCCCTGCTGCTGTCGATACACCGACCTCTTGCTGCTCACCGCGATTGGAGACACCTCCGGGTTTTCCACCTCGGACGTCTTCGTCTCCTCTACAGCCTGTCGCTGTGGACTTCGGGGGCCTAGGTGTTGTTGGGGGTGGTGACGCTGAGGGTTCTGTTTCTGGGGTGCTGGTTCTGGGGGTGCTGACTCTGGGGGTGCTAGAAGTCCTCTTGTTGGTGGAGTTGGAGGTACTGGCATTAGAGGTGCTGGTGCTGGCGCTGGAAGTGTTCCTAGGACTGGCGGTCCTGGTGTTATGCTAGAGGTGTTGGGTCTGGGTGTGTGTCGCAGTCGCTGCCGTGGCAGCCTATCTTTTTGGAGCAGCTGTCGTCGCCGCTACCTGAGTCGGCGCTTCACCACCTTCCCAGACTCCCGACTGCCTCTGCTGAGCCGACGACCACTGGTACTGCTCCTCCTTTGTTGTCTCCGCCACTTGACTCCCCTCTGACTGCACCTGCTCAATACTCCCCATCGCCCGTCTCCCTGACTGAGCGTCGGGTACCTGTATCTTGTGCTGCCTCCCCTGCTACCTTTCGTTTTTCTTGGGAGCTTGTTGTCCTGCCGGTACCTCCCCTGTCTTCTCTTCCTGCCGTTCTTGACCCTGTGTCTGAACTTGCTCGTGCTGCTCGTCCGACTATCCCTTGTTGTCTAGCCGCGCTTGTGACTACACCTGCTTCTTCGACTGCTGCTACTTCTGCCGTAGTAGCTGAGCTTGCTGGCTTTGCTGCTACTTGCTGTCGTGCCTACCTTGCTGGTCTCGTTTCTGCCTCTTCGTATCCTACGTCCGTCGGGGGTGAGCTTGCCCTTGGTTGTGGCGTCCTTGAGGACAGGCGGTTCGAGCTGGAGTACCTGCCGTACCCTCTCAGCATCCGGACTCGCTGCATTGCGCCCAGGAGACACCACCCTGCGCATTGGCGGGCTGCTATTTGGGTGCTGCGCTACTTGGTCAGACTCGCGAGCAAAACGTAGCACTTTGTAGTTCGTTCCTTTGCCATGCCAGTGTTGCAGCAGCGTTCCCAGCTTCGCCTTCGTACGTGGCCATACGCGCCAACACTGCTTGTCTCTTGATCTTGTCTTGTACTTTGTTATATAAACCTACATGTTTCTAGTTGCTAGATTGTAATCATTGTACTGATTATTCTATTATAAAACTGCGTGGTGATCTTGAGATCCATCCTGAGCTTTGCTTTGTTTGCTTCTTTTGAGTGGTTTTGTGACCGCTTGTCTTCCACTTCGCCTGTAGGGGTGTGTGAGAACATGTTTCTATGTTGTTAGTTATGTTAGGCTGCAATGTGGCACCTAGTATAGGGTACAATACAACTCTCTCGACACTTGTACCCTAATCTCCTACTAGTCCATCATTCCTGTTTCCTACCTTTGACAGCTTGGTGAAACGCGAATAGGAGCACGCGGTTGTCAAGGACTTCGGCGACAGAAAGACAGGCGAGATTGTTTGTACCTAGACGTTGTTAACTTACCACTGTGGCGGCGGGGCCACTGCGTGTTGCACCAGGTGTGACAACATGGTCGTCACGCGTACTAGCACGGGGGGGCGTGACACAGCGGGACAGCACCAGCTGAAAACGTCGGTACGGCTGACACAACGGGGACAGGACACAAGAATTCTAGACCTGTTAATCCTCGTGGTTGACCAGAATCGACATGATTTTGTCGAGAGTAAAGGGAAAGGATGGTTCGACTATCGAGAAAGTTGGGTACAAGTAACACAAACTATACCCTACATTAGCTACCCCACTAAAGCCTATATTTTATTATGACATAGGCATATAATTTGACAAAGTGGGGGAGAGCAAGGGGTCACAAGACCAGTCAAAACAAGCAAAGCAAGCTCAGGGTGGATCACAACGTCACCACACACACTGAGTACAAGCAAAGGGCCACAAGGCCAGTTCACATGCAGAGGTATATATGCAACAAGACCAGTACAGTGATCTCTACCTAGCAGAGCAAGTATGCAGATATATATATAGATCACAGTACAAGCAAAGTCTACAGCAAGTGAAGAAAAGTGGGCACAAGGCCTAACAAAGTGCAAAAACGCTGATGATCACCAGATGGAAGTGCTTTGGTGAATATATCAGCAGTGTTGGCCCGAGTGGCCACGTGAGCAAAACGAAGCTGACCACGCTGCTGCAACTCTCGAGCCAAGAAGTAACGTAGAGCGATATGCTTCGTTCTGTGCTCCAGTCTGTGCTCCTCACACAAGGCAATGGCGGCCTTGTTGTCGACGTACAGCACTGGAGGAGAACGAGGCCGCTCTCCCAAGTCGGTCAGCAGGTAGGTGAGCCAGCGTAGCTCCTGTGTAGCCATGGCTGTGGCGTAGATCTCAGCCTTACAACTGGAGCTGAGAACTGAAGACGAGCATGTAGAACGCCAAGAAACTGAACCAGAGCCAAGGCTGAAGGTGTAAACCTGTGACGACCGCTGCGTAGCCTGGTCGTCAACCCAAGAAGCGTCTGAGTGCCCGGTGAGGACAACGTCGCTCCGTCCTCCAAGCACGAGCCCCATGCCCGATGTATTGCACAAGTAGCGTAGTACCCTCTTAGCAGCATCCATGTGCACCTTTCGGTGCCGACCAGGAGCCACGTAGCGAGCTAGAAGGCCAAGAGGGTACGCAAGGTCAGGACGAGTGCAGGTCATCAGGTACATGAGGCAGCCTCCTAGCTCTGGGTAAGGACCACTCGGCTCTACGGACTCGTCCGAAGGTGGAGCTGAGAGCGAGTGACCTGTAGCTAGAGGAGTGGCCTGTGCCGAGGACCAGGTGAAGCCGAAGCGCTGAAGGACCTGCTGCACCATGTGTGACCGAGTCAGTGTGATGGTGCGGCGTGCTCTGTCCCGGGTGATCTGCAAGCCAAGGTAACTGCGCAGCTCACCCAGGTCAGTGCACGTGTGTCTCTTCTGCAGCTCCGACTTCACCAGGGCGAGAGCCTCAGTGTCAGCAGTGGCAAAGACCAAGTCGTCGACGTACAAAAGGATGTAGAATGGCGGCAGCGAAGTGTCGGTGCGCAGAAACAGCGACGGGTCAGCAGTCGGCGGAGCAAACCCAAGAGCCGCAAGTGTCGTCTTCAGTGTGTCGTGCCACTCACGTGGCGCCTGGCGGAGACTGTAGACCGGCCGCCGGAGGCTCCACTGGGTACCAGGAGGGAACGACCCAGTAAAGCCAGGCGGGCGGCGCAGTTAGATCTCCTCGTGCAGGCTGCCCTGCAAGAAAGCTGTGCTGAAGTCAAGAGAGTGAAGCTCGTAGTCACGCTGAGCGGCAATGTGCAGCAAAACCCGAAGAGTGGTCATCTTCGGGGTGGGGGAGAAGGTCTGGAAGAAGTCAACTCCCTCTCGCTGACTGAAACCTCGAGCAACGTAACGAGCCTTAAAGACAGGCGGAGAACCCGGCGGCCGCTTCACCCTGAAAATCCACATGCCATCGACGATGTTCGCCTCAGGAGGGGGAACCTCGTCAACGTAAGTGCCTGTGAACTTCCGGGATGCCATCTTTGCGTCCATGGCTGTCTGCCACTGAGAGGAGTACTCACCCGCTATTGCCTCAGCGTAAGAGCGCGGGGTCGGGATGTCTGGAGCATCCGGGTCTACCTCAGGGGCAAGTAGCATGGACACGAGATGAGGCGCAGCGGCTGCAAGACAGTCAAGGTCCTCCTGCCTGTCCTCAAGGACGTCCGTGCCAAGAGCACACTCACCCCCGACGGACGGAGGACAGACAGACTCAGACTCAGCAACAAGACTAGCGGCGTAGTCTAGACGACAGGCAGCAGCAAAGTCAACAAGCCCAGCGACCAAGGCAGACGCATCAGCAGACTCAAACGACGGGTCAGTGACAACGGTGGCTAGCAGACGCGGGACAGTAGGGTGAGCAGCACGAGCGCGGTTAGACTCAGGCTCTGGACCGTCAGGCAGAGAAGACGCAGGAGGGGACGGCAGGGGAACACGCTGCGGAGCAGAGGAAGGACGCAGGGCCATGAGGTGTGTGCCGGGGACAGCCGGTGGACGCTCACGAGGAACACGACGACCAGTACGACCAGTGCGGACAGTGCGAACAGGCGAGACAGGACGAGACGCAGGCTCACGACGCTCAGCAAGACCGCTTGTCAGCTCAGTGTAAGGAGAAGGAGTAGGCAGCGGTAAGCCAGGCTGTAATGGAAGACCAGTAGAAGACGGGAGGCTAAGAACCTGGTGAAGCACGGAGTCAGGCGGTGGCAGAGACGAAGGTGACGGCGGAGCGA